TCTTCCGAGTGCTGACCCTTATAGAAAATGCCATAAACCCTTTGAAGACGGAAGGTCTCTGAACTTTTTGCTGATTGTTTCCTATGAAGGATGGTATGTCTAGCATCCCTGTGAATTTTGTTCAGTGTTGACTCAGAGGAAGTCAACTGAATCACTAATGTTTTTCCATGCAGTTCCTAGTTATATGATCATGTAGTTTCACCCATCCCTGTTAAGGTCCTATTTCATAAGGAAACAGTGAAAAGTGCTACAACTGCTCAAATGTCTGTTTTTTTAAGCATTATATTAAACCAGTGACACACAGGAAACTCTGTCTCTGTGTTTCTATTCACTCCAAGCAACAGTTTTCATTATTTCTTCTCATTTTCCCTGATTATGCTGGTTATTCTCTTAGTCATGAAAGCAGTTCCAGAGATGGGAGGGTTGTGTTGCTTGTGTTTTAACATATGGTACTACTTCAATCAAAGTCCAGTTCCACTCCAAAAACTGGGGAGAATTCTTATCCAGTAAATCTGCTCCTTCTGTGACACCAGGAATGATATTCAGCTAATTTTTGAGGAGTTTAGGCTGGGTTTAAGTTACTTGTTTCGGAAAATCAATAGCAGAAACACCAACATGCTCTAAATCTAGTTCAAGGCATGTGGAATTATTTCTGTGATGTGGTTCAAGTTGAAAAAGCAGAAATATGCAAATGCTTCATAAAAGGGAAGATCACAGAATCACAGAATTTAAGGGTTGGAATGGACCTCACAGATCATCTAGTCCCAAACCCCCCATGCCATGGAAAGGGACACCTCCTCACTAGATCAGGTTGCTCAAGGCTTCATCCAGCCTGGTCTTGCACACCGCCAGGCTCAGGGCACAGTCTTGTTGAACTTTATTAATGGAGAACAGATAAAGTACACAACCGAGCTACACCACACAAAGGTAAATTTACTGAACAAACAGTTAATTTAACAATCACTGGCAGACTTGGGGATTTGTCTGTTTTATTTGCAATCTGTCCACAGCTGGCAAAGAGATTCACAAAACAGACAAGCATGGCATACATTTAACTGATGCTCTTCAGACAAAGCACACTGACAACCTGGGGTATTTTCAGGTGTAAATTTTGGCTTTTCTTGGTGACCAGTGATAGCCATTTCACATAAGTTACCTTGTGTTTTCTGTTCAGATTGTTGTAGAGAATTCGAAAATGTTTCCTTGTGTAGCTGCTCCGATAAGCTCCACCAAGGAGGTACTCTATCACTAGTCCAATATCAATCAGCGATATCTTGTAATCCAGAGAAAGGGTATTCTGAAACACCAAATGTCACAAACATTTCATGATGCCATTATATGCAACATTCAACCATGCCAGAGCCCTGCTGTTGTAAGGTAGAATCTGAAGAAATGTGCAACTGAGAACTCCTGCATCTGTTAGGAAAATTGACACATTCATTAGACATATGGAACTACCCTAGGAGGGAGAACACAGACACATCCACATTTTCTGCCTGAAAAATGTGATGCCTACATTTCTCTGCACCCATATTGCATAGGGACAATTGCAAAGTTCACAAGACCAGCTGCATTCAACAGCTGTTCTTCACAACGGTCATCATTTGGTGATTGCTGTGAAGCACAGTTGTTCTTCACAACAATCACCAAATGATAAATATCATCTTCTCCTAACAAGAAAAAACTAGCATGGTATGATTTGCTCATTAAGTTTGTTCATTAATTAAGTATGAAGAAGTAGCTGAAGCATGTATTTAATGTTGCAGAGTAATTCCTGGAGACTGGAAATCTCTTGTAGAGGCTCAAGACTATCTTGATAACTAGAACAGCAGCTGTACGTGCATTAGCTCTACCTTCTGAGTCTTTCACCACTTCTGTTTTAAGCACCATTATCCAGCTTACCTCTACTGTCCTTCCAAGATCCAAGGTTTGTGACAAATTCTCTGAAGAACAGGTATCTTTCATGCAGATTTTAGAAATCATTGGTAGAACTGCAACTCTTTGAAGTGAAAAATGGGTCTGTACATAGATGGGATCAGAGATGTTATGTATTCCTAGCAGTGTATGGCTTTCACATAGTGAAAAGCCTTTTTCTTCATTAGACTAAGGGTTTTTTTCCAATACGCTTCAGTAGCAAGCCTCAGTACGATCAGCTAAGGCCACCCAGCCCTGAATAACAAAAGGCACCAACATGCTGAGCACTCTGGGGTAAAAGCATGTCTCACAGAATAGTTTGCCAGCTCTGTCACTGAGAGTCAGGCAACAATTTCTGACTGCCTATACTTGTTGATATTTCTCTGCACTAACACATATTTTATCGTATCAGAGCAGACTGCAGTATATCTGTTTTCAAACCTAGCAGCATCAAAGCTGGTCACACTAATGCTGAAAATATTATGAAATACATGATCACATCACTCTGGTGACTGTCCCACCTACTGTGTCACTGTATTTACTTAGGCTGCAACTGCACAAACCATTCACAAAGCACTTAAGCATACTTACAAAACCTCAGGTGAAAAAGGCTTTTCAGCATTTAGACCTGTTTCCAGGTCCCAAGTGAGTTTAGCTCACACAATGGCATAGAAAGTTTTGAAATTTGCAGACATTTTTTACATAAATTCCATTATTACATTTCAAATGCCAAAAGCTTCTCTTTAAATCACACCTTGCATTTTCCCATAGTGTCCTGAGATATAAACAGGGCATGGGTTTTAGGAGAGGGATAATATGAAAGAGCAAATCACTTCAGTACCTGTGAGGAAGACAGATTCCTCAACTTGGAAAAATTCAGTATTGTTTCAACACTGAGATCTTCCACATCTATCACATAAATAGACCTTGAATATGTTCATCAGTATGGGAAAATACAGAAAGTATTTTGCTACAGAGACCAGACCGTACCTCTGTCTAAAGAACCATAAATGGGATTGACATGAAAGGCACTCACAATAACAAAATCATACCACAAATCCAACAGAACTCTACAAACAGTCAGACAACATTTTATTTTATCTTAGCATTCATTCCCTGGAAATAATTAGCCAATTAATCTAGTTTAGGATATATGAATCTCCTGCAGTGAAGACTAGATGCATAAAGAACAGCTCATCCCTTCCTTGCAAAGCAGTGCTGCAAGGTACAGTAGATAACAAACATGAAATAAATTAACAATGTAGCTAAATAACAAGGCTGCCACTAAATTACTAAGGGAGCTAGTGATCCATGCAGTAGACATTCACTGCCAAATTCTGTTCTCCTAGGCAATACAGCATATTAAAACAGTATCTTGTCACAGTATTTTTTTTCACTGCTCAACAAGGAAAGCTTATTTTAGCTTCAGAAAACCTTAAAGATATAACTATTGCACTAATTCACTAAGTCCTTTGTACAATCACGTCATAATGTAACTTTAGTAATTTGAAAAAGAGAGTCTGATCTACATGAACTGCTTGGCTTTGAAATTAAGGGTCCCTTGGGACACTCAGTAATAGTATGCTATTTAATTGCTTAGGGAGATCAGCGGGGTGAAGATAAAACCATTTAGCAGATATAGGACTGTAGTAATAAACCCATCACTTCTAGTCCTGAAATTCTGCTGTATTATCTAATAGCAGTGTGCCAGCGGACACTGAAGGTCTACGCTACCATTTTTGCTCGGCAGTCTCTCCTATGTCTATTACCTGTTTCACATCACGAACTAGGTGATGCAAAAGTAGATTCGATGGTCCTTGTTTCTGTGGTGTGAAAAGAAAAGACAGTAAACAGCCATGTCATTCTGCATTAGAAAATCTATACAGTAAAAGAAAGCAGCTAAAAAAATCTTCAGAATAAGCCACTGTGGTCCAAACTCTCCCCACTTAAAATCTATCCACAAACCTCTTTGAAAACATTTCAACACCAATCTGCAACACCTGCTATCTTAAATCCTGACATATTCCGGAAAGAAGTTGGTATAGCTTTCATTGAACAACCTATAATTTTCCACAAGATAAGCATGTATCACATACTGGATTAAAATCTGAACATCTTTCTCAGGAGCTTTAAGTGAGTACTCAGTCTGGTTCATGACGGTGAATCAAAAATAACTAGCCAGTGCACCAGTCCAAAAATCTCACATCACAATAAAAAATTATCAAACCCCATTAATTTTCCTACTTTTTTTCAAAAATCCTTCATTAAAAATGTGGACTAATAATCAGATCTCTTAGGGAAAACAGTATTGTTTCCAGCCTTTCTTATCTACATTTGTTCACTGGGATTTCAAATACTCACTGTGTTGTAGAGTTCTTCCAAACGAGATATGGTAAGAAAACAGTGCATGTTCACTCCGTGCTCTATTAACAGCTTCACAAAATCTACACGGTCCATCGCTAAAGCATCCAGCATTGCCTGTTCCAAGGCACCAACCTCCAGATGGACAGAGTTGAAGGAAAAGCTTAGAAAATTATTAACATTGCCGAATAGCTAGTAATTTCTTTACCACAATGACTTGTCTCTACATATATTTAAAATGAACAGTGCAAAAGAAAAATATGCTGGAGGAAGCATCTGTGTAAAAAGTCCAACAGAAAGAGGAAATAAAACTAAGTCTCCATAAACTCATTATTTGTTGAGACTTCTACTTTACAACCACACTGATAATATATTCTCTACCCTCTAATTCACTTCAGAAGCTAACATTTGAAAATGCAGGGGGCAGAGGGATGCCTTTGTTTTTGACATATGACAAAATCTATTTCAAGGCACTGTATTTCAAGATCTCTCTATAGAACTGGAAGCTCTTTAAAGCAGACTTCTTTTCAAATACAAGAGAGAATCTATGTTAGAATAAACTCATAGAAAGCATGAAGCGGCGATCTATCTACAATGGTGTCCAAACGGTGAAAGCATTCTACTTATAGCACTTGCACAGAGCTCAGCAGGGTTTCTACACGCAAAATAGCAAAAGAATTAAACACATGAGGTGTTTAACCCTAACCCTAACCCTAACCCTAATAAATCCATATGAAGTTTTTCTACAGAACACATATGCACAGGAAATGCAGTGGGGTGAGCAGAATGAGGCTGGCACACCAGTGGGGCAGGTGCTAGTGCTAACTTGAAGTTAGTCCATTCCATGTACATATTGATGTTTGACAGAAATTATGTTAAAAGATGACCAATAAATGTTACAGGAGTGTCACATGTAAAAAGAAAACTTATGCACTGATCCTGAATTACTTATGTTTCTTTCAGAAATATCTGAGTCACCGACCATTCCTGTATCAAATTTCCTTGAGCGGCCATTTCTTGAGCTGACAGTGTGTCTGAAGAGGTTTAGACAGCTGTCCGGCGACTACTAGAATGACATTCTTTGGTGTGAAGTAAATTTGAGATTGATTTGACGTTTAAGCAGGAACATAGTTAAGAGCTGGTTACAATCTTTACCTTCTGACCTTCTAGGACTAGAGTTCTAAAAAAGAAATGGCCACAATCTATGTGTAATTGTCCATGTTTCCTTGAAACACTTAAATAGACAGAAATATTTTCAGACTTCACAGACAACCACCTAAAAACTGCTGCTTAAATATGTAACTCAAAATTTGAACACACAACCACAATAACCCTGCAGATGCTGTAGCCTCTGACAATTGCAGATCTGGCAGTCCCTGACAGTCGGAGTGTTACTCCTGTTATTTAAGCAATTAAGTTAAAGGCAAACTTAAAAACTGTGCTTGTATATTTGGGGTATTTTTGTTTGTCAGGGGTTTTCTTTCTTTCTGTAGTTTTTTTCAGTGCAAGAAGAAAACAATCATTATTTAAGGATATTTTTTTAAAGCTTAGTGGAAAGAAAAACTTTCTGGAATGTATGCCATTCTAATTTTAGCTTGGAGAAGCAGCAAAAGATGTGAGGCTTGTTTATTACATGGTTTTTGCATCTTACTTGTAGGGGAGAACATAGTCATCATTTGACAATGGCTTTTCACTCAAAACACTGCTGAACAATTGCATTGAAATAGACATGAACAGGTACACAGACTTTTTTAAACATATCAGAAGAAGAGGAGCGGGAGTAGGGGGACTGTCAGTGGATCTGTAAGACCAGAGGGTGATCAAGATACAAAGGAAACACTTAGAGATAAGACTCCTGCAGACACAGCAAACTATTTGTTATGTCGCTGCTCACTACACAACAGGTTGGAAAAGTCCAATATCAAAGCTGTTCTTTATGGCAGACAAATCTGAGCAACTCTGTCAAACTGAAGTATCAGTAGAAAAGATTGTAGAAGTCACCCATACAGTGGCAAATTGTGAGGAACAGGTTGTATTCACATAAGAGCTCCCAGGGAACCAAAAAACTGCGGAAATCAGCCCCTAACAGCAGCATGGAAGACAGTAGAAAGTAAGTCAGTTGTTGTCCTAGGTTACAATGTACGGGGTAACCCCTGGTATGTATTCTATTATCATCTCCAAAAGCTGTTTGGGCAGGTGGGGGCAGTGATCGTTATCTCCTACTCATTCCTAATGGCTCCCTCGGGGAGCTGTCTCTGTTTAATGGGCTGTCTGGGACCCATGATGCATAGAGTTACATCGTTCCATTGTGAGATGCCTCATCCCATGGGGGGGACTTGAATTTTTTGAGCTATGGTCACTCAAAAATATATACAACTGTCCATTTTTCAAAATTTACATTATAAAGAAGAATACACGTTTGGAACTGGAAAAATTGACCTTGTAAATCTCGGCAGGGAAAACTTAAGAAGTTCTTCTGGGAGCATCAGATATTATGTTTTGAAGAAAATGTTAATTCTTATAACAAATGGGAATAACATGTTGAGGCACAGTTTTATATTTGTCATCTATAAAAATCCTATTACGTACATAAAAACTCACTTAGGGAGTATTATACTTAAATACGGGATTACAGCTGAAAATTTGAAAACCACAATGTATAGGACTGATTTAATTGCTACCATATGTTCTTTGACACATCTACAGTTAATGTAGGTCTAAATCACAGCTTGTCTTGATTGCATCTATTGCTAAGAAAAAACATCTAAAATAATGCCATGTTACCACAGTTAATTTTACCTTTATTTACCTGATGATTTACACTGTGATTTCTGTATTTCTATCTAGGGTGAGAACAATAGATGCAACTAGACTACAATGAGATATCCATAACCACTGATGATTGTCAACACAGCCTTGAAGAATACATATCCAAAGGGCAACTGAAACTACTTAGAAAAGCTCACAGCAAAGGAGGAATGTTAGATATCATCTCTTCTCGAGAAACAAGTGTGATCTGATGCACTCCGCAGCTGAATATTTCACAATTTTAAGAATAATTCCTCTCCAAAATTGTAGATGATTACAGAAAACTGACTCCAGTCATCAAATACTCTGTAATTAAAGCTTGAAAAATTAAAATAATGGAAAATTAGTAATCACAATGAAGTGCAAAGACACCAAGCAAAATGAAAGGTACCTTCCAGTGCTGACCATAAACAAGTATGTGTTTCTTGGCAATATCTAGCCGATTCCAGGCCAATGCCAAATCCAGCTGATCTGAAGCAGACATATTTGTACCTAGAAAACAAGAAAAGGATCTAGCAGTTTCCACATATTGATGCTTTGAGTAAGTCAAAGAGACTGCATGTCAGATGAAAATAGGTCATATTTTTCAATAGGTACCTTTCAAGAGTGCAGTCAGAATTGCCAAATCAATGTCCTGCTGATCTTCTGACTCAGCATCAAAGATGGTTATCTGTTAGAAGTGAAAAAGTATGCTATCTGAGGTGAGGCAGAGAAGTCTGCAGTTATTTCTCCCTAGTAAGGGCTGCAGTAGGTGAAATTATACACATTGCAACACAAACAATGGCAAAAGCCCAGACATGATCTTCCTTTGTTTTAGACAGAAAATGCACCATGTTAGTTTTTAATGCAATGGCATCCCATGCAGACTGGAATCAATCTACTGTATGATGAGTCTATTTCCTTTTGATTAGCCTTTAAAGCTGAGAAATGTAGTAATGCAACATGGTTGATATCAACTCAGTTTTCAACTACAAAACGGGCACTCAAAGTTAAACAAAAAATACTAAAAATGTTCATTTTAGTGATCATTGCTACAACTGTTATTACTCTCCTACTAAATACTTGGTACTCCTTCATATTTGTAAAGTTGTGGCAGACTGGCAAAGTTCTCTGTAACTGGAAAAGATTACATAAAACTCACATTTTTTAAAAGGCTAAAGAGAAAAACTTGGGGAACTACAGGTCAGTCAGTCTCACCTCTGTGCCTAGTAACATCGTGGTGCAGACCCTCCAGGAAATAAGGCACATAGAAAATAAGGAGGTGATTTGTGACAGCAAACATGACTTCATTAAGGGCAAATCATGCCCAACAAGTTGGTGGCCTTCTATGGTATGATTACAGCATTGGTGGATAAAGGAAGAGTGACTGATGTCATCTACCTGAACTTGTGCAAGGCATTTGATACTGTCCTGCACAACATCCTTGTCTCTAAACTGGAGTGGGTGGAGTGGACAGACCACACGGTGGATAAGGAATTGGCTGCATGGTCACACTCAGAGAGTTGCAGTCAATGGCTTAATGTCCCAGGGGAGACCAGTGAAGGGTACCCTGAAGGCCAATTCTTCTCTGAGGAAAACAAATGAGATCTGATGCACTCTGCAGCTGAATATTTCACAATTTTAAGAATAATGCCTCTCCAAATTCATAGATGATTACAGAAGACTAACTCCAGCCATCAAACTATTCTGTAATTAACGGGACCAGGATTATTTAAGATGCTTTTTGGGTACATGGACACTGGGACTGAATGCGCACACAGCAAGTTTGTGGATGATACCAAGCTGAGTGGTGTTGATAGTCTAGAGAGAAGGAATACCATCCAGAGGGACCTTGACAGGCTTGAGAGGTGGGCCTAGGCAGACCTCATGAAGTTCAACAAGGCCAAGCACAAAGACCTGTACCTGGGTCAGGATGATGCCAAGAACAAATATAGATAGGGCAGAGAAATGACTAATAACAATCCTGGAGTGCAGGACTTCAGGGTGTTGGTGGAAGAAAAGTTCAACATGAGCTGTCAGTGTTCACTGGCAGCCCAGAAAGCCAACTGTATCTTGGGCTGCATCAAAAGTAGCGTGGCCAGTAGGTCAAGGTCACTAGTGGTGTTCCCAAGGGCTCAGTATTGGGTTCAGTCCTGTTCAATATCTTTATTGATTACGTGGGTGTGGGGGTTGACTGTAACTAGCAAACAATAAAGGATCAGTAAATTTGTGGATGACACCAAGCTGAGTGGGAGTGTTGATCTGCTGGAGGGTACAAAGGCTCTGTAGAGGGATCTGGACAGGGTAGATAGATGCGCCAAGGCCAATGATATGAGGTTCAACAGGACCAAGTGCTACACTTTGGGCACAAGAACTCCATGCAGTACTAAATGTGGGGAATAGCTGGAAAGCTGCCCAGCAGAAAAGGACCTGGGGATGCTGGTCAACAGCCAGCTGAACATGAGCCAGCAGTGTGCTCATGTGGCCAAGAAGGCCAATAGCACTCTGGCTTGTGTCAGAAACAGTGTGGCCAGCAGGACCAGGTAAGTGATTGCCCCTCTGTAGTCAGCACTGGTGAGGTCACACCTCAAGTAGTGTGTCCATTTCTGGGCCCCTCAATTCAGGAAGGCCATTGCGGTGTTGAAGCAAGTCCAGAGACGTGCAACAAAGTTGATGAAGTGTCTGGAGGGTAAGTCCTAAGAGGAGCAGCTGAGGGAGTTTGGATTGCTCAGCCTGGAGAAGAGGAGGCTCAGAGGTAACCCAATCACTCTATACATTTACCTGAAATAAGGTTGTAGGCAGGTGGGGTTGGCCTCTTTCCTCAGTGACACAAGGAGAGGACAGTCTCAAGTTGCATCAAAGAAGATTCAAGTTGGACATTAGTAGGAATTTTTTCACAGAAACGGTGATTAAACATTGGAATGGACTGCGCAGGGTAGTGGTGGAGTCACTGTCCCTGGAGATGTTCAAGGAAAGACTGGATGTGGCACCTAGTGCCCATCATCTAGCTGATGTAGTGTTCAGTCAAAGGTTGGACTTAATGATCTCAGAGGTCTTTCCCAACCTAATCGCTTATGTGATTCTGTCCCTATACTCTGCCCTGCTGAGACCCCATCTGGAGTGCTGCATACAGCTCTGGGTTCCCCAGCATAAGAATGATGTGCAGCCTGCTTGAGCATGTCCAGAGGACGGCCACAAAGATGATCAGATGACTGGCGCATGTCTCCTTTGAAGACAGGCTGAGAGATTTGGTATTGTTTAGCCTAGAGAAGACAAGGCTCCAGGGAGACCTTACAGCAGCCTTCCACTACCTAAATGGGGCCTCCAGGAAAGATGGGGAGGGATTCTTTATCAAGGAGTGTAGGGATGGGATGAGGGGTAACAGTTAAGTAAACAGTTGGAACAAATCACGCAGAGAAGTTGTGGATGTCCCATCCCTGAAGGTTCTTGACTGTGAAGGGGGTGAGGCACTAGAACAGGTTGCCCTGAAAAGTTATGAATGTCCCGTTCCTGGAGATGTTCAAGGCCAGACTGGATGGAGCTTTGAGCAGCCTGGTCAAGTATCAAGTATCTCTGCCTATAGCAGGGGGATTGAAACTAGATGAACTTTAAGGTCACTTCCAACCCAAAGCATTCTATGGTTCTGTGATTCTCCTTGCAAATGAGCACTTGAGCTGCTAAACATGCCATACCAACAAACCTCAAAAGTACATCTCATTACTCAGACACAAGTTCTAACACAATTCTGCTTTAAGCAGAAAAATGGAATTAAACCTTTCTAAACTACAAACAAGACTCTACAAGTAGGAATTACTTGATCTTTCTTATGAAAACAAAGTCATTTCATAAGCAATGACTGAAACTTGAGAATTTAAATAAACAGGCTCTGTAGAGCTACTCAATAGAGAAATTGGCACAGACATGCATATCTTTATATTAGAGATAACACCTATGCCCACACCAACACATCACAAAAAGAACAGAAAAGGAAACAGCAAATGAAGACATCCTCTGAAATTAAAGAGACTGAACCCCACTCACGGACTCTCTGTGCTCCATGCATTCCATCAAAACATGAAATAGATGACTGGACTCCTTTTGCCCCAAACTAAATGTGTTTTGAATCATCACCAAGACCTTCTCCTTCACCTGAGGGCACAGATCCCTGGAAAACAGAACATACAAGCAAGAACAATTATGTTTAACTACTTCTTACCAGTCCAAATAACACTTCAGAAAAAATGAAACTTGTACTACACAGAGACATATGAGAAATCTCTTCTATTTCTACTTCTCTGTTGACTTAGTCCTTCCTTCTTTCAACAAAATTAAGCAAAGCCATCCCATAACCTAAGTTATTATTCATATAGGCATTAGTTCTCACATACATATTTACAACTAGAAATAGAACACATGAGTAAGTTAACAATTCTCAAAGGACTGTCTGCGAACCAAAGCCACTCTATCACTCCCCTCTGCAAATAGACAGGGGAGTGAAAATATAGCAAAAGGTTCATGAGCTGAGATAAGGACAGGGAGAGATCACTCACAGAATACCATCACAGGCAAAACAGACTCAGCTAGGGGAACTTAAGTGATTTTATTACTAACAAGATCAGAGCAGGATAATGAGAAAATAAAATAGACCTTTAAAAAAAATGTTCTCCTACCCTTCCCTCCTTCTCAAGTCTACCTCCTCCTCTCTCCCAGTGGCACAGGGAGCAGGGGCTACAGTCAGTTCATCATATGTTGTTTCTGCCACTGCTTTCAGGGAGAGGAGTCCTTCCCCAGCGCAGGGGTCCCTCCCATGGGAGACAGCTCTCCACGAACTCCAATGCGAGTCCTTCTCACAGGTGGCAGTTCTCCACAAACTACTCCAGCATGGTTCATTCTCCATAGGGTGCAGTCTAGTCCCTCAGGAACAGCCTGCTCCTGTGCTGGTCCCCCCATGGGATTACAAGTCCTAACAGGAAACCTGCTCTGGTATGAGTCTCCTCTCTCCAAGGGTCCGCAGGTCTCTGCCAGGAGCTTGCTCCAACATGTGCTTCCCATAGGTTTACAGCTTTCTTTCAGGCTTCCACCTGCTCCAGCAGTACTATCACTGATCAGCTCATCCTTGGCACAGTGGCAGGTCCATATGGAGCTGTTGGCATTGGCCCTGCTGGTCATGAGGAAGCTTCTAACAGCTTCTCACGGAAGCCACCCCTGTAGCCCCTCTGCTACCAAACGTTGGCCATGCAAACCCAATACAATTGGCTATATAAATATAAATATTTAGTCCAAGTTTGGATGCAAAATTTTCATCAAGGTAGGTTCAACAGAGCCTGCAGCTGAGGCTGCACTGGCAGTGACAAAAAGAGAGTTACACCTAGAAGAGGACAACAAATCTGGGTAAACCAGATCTTTGGTAAACCAAAGCCAAAGATGAGGAACTTTAGTCCTTCTCCCGCTGCAGCCTGAGGCTCCTACAGCAAATAACCCCACCTCCAGTCACAAAAGCTTTGTGCAAGCCAAATCCAAGCCCACATACAGAATACTGATGGCAAAAGAAACTCAAAATAGATAGATGAAGTTTTCCCTCTTCAAAAAAAGCCATAAAAAATTTGGCAAAATAATGATTTCAGCAATAGTTTGAGGCAGGGAAGGCAGAAACTCCACTTTCACTTCACAGAAGTAAAAGCTGGCAAAAGACCATGGTGGTGCCATTACTAGAAGCAATAGAAACTATCTTCGCAGCCTTGAGACAGGTGTTTTCAGGTCCATGCCAATATAACAGATCAAGGAGGAGGATCATTATGCTCACCCTGTATCACGCATGTGTTTATGGGTAAATGCCAGTACATCTGCAGCTCTGCCAGTGCCCTCATAGACCACCACTGGGACAGCTGGGCTGGACCTCACGTACTCCCATACCATTTGGATCACTCTGGGGCCTCCTTCCAACACCAGCCCAACTATGGGTACACCTTGGTCCATTCCTGTTTCAAAACAAACCTAATCAGTTACAAATATCTCAGTAACACACGTAAGTATCAGAACATCTGGTAAATAAATACTCATGAAGGAGTCTCACATGGTTCAATGAAGAGGAAATCAGGCCTTCACCATCTCTAATTTGGCTTCATTTCTTAAGACTTTCACAGAAATCTGAGACCAGATCAAGAAGATCAAGAAAAACTGATATAACTGTAAGCAGCCCTAGAACTGGAAAAAAAACCCATCCTTTGGAATATCCCTCTGCCCTTTACAACAGCTGTCACATGCAAGGATGTTTGAAACGTGTTCAATAGCCATTTGTTTACCTACACATATAGAAAAGTAATCAAGTACTTCTTCACAGACTCCCCAGTTTTGCAGCAAGAGGGTGGGTCTTTTAAAAAACAAATAAATTTCAAATTCATTGCAACAGAAATGAAGACACAACAGAAAGTCTGACTTGGAAAAACTCATCGTAAGAATATATATAATAGGCCAAGTAAGAAGCTCTATATATGTACTTCTTAAAAATTGGGTAAGTTTCTAGTTTTGTAGATTCTATAATGTGAGCAGATAAAGGAAGCAAGGATTCAACATCATAACTGCTAATACCTTTTTAACATACCTCAAGATTTGAAAGACTAGGTAAATGTGAACTTCCACAAATAATGTGTACAATCTAGTGCATAACAGGGAATATTTGTCTATGTAATAAATATTCAACTCATGATTTCTATAACATAATTCAGTTACTCTATATGCTAATGGTGGAAGTTATGCAATCTGACAGTGGCAACCAGACATTTTTTCTGTATCAGAGAGGTCACAAGTTTGCAATAGAGAAGAATGATGAAGACAAAAGAAGTGGACAGAGAAAAAAGGATTTGAATTCCACTGAATGTGACAAGTTTTTCACCTAGCAAAATGCTGGGAAAATATCTAGTGCTGATAGACAGACCACACAAAAATGCAAAGTGAGCAAGCTCAATACTTACTGAGAAACCAAGTGCATAATGCTTTACAAAAATGCTGTTCTTTACATTTTCCTGATGTTCACAGTTCACAAGACACGTGCAATTAACAATGTTTGACCTCAGTGAAATCTACAGCAAATTAGGATGTACAACATGTAACAGGAAATATCAAGTACCTCCACAGCTTTTAGGATAGGTTTTCCTGTCATAAAGCTGACCACAGTGGTACTCACTTCTGTGTATTTTTTGAAGTGATATGTACTTCTCCAAATTCCTCCTGAGCATCATTTCATTCCCATATTTGCCTACTGTCCCATCATCTGCCATTAGGAAATGAGAATGCATGCTGTTGAGCGTACTCAGCTTGCTGAGTGGGTTACCAAGAGTCTGGTACAGGCAAACTACCTGAGAAAACCAAGATAAAAAGATCCTCAAAGAAACCAACAAAATACCACCATTTATGTTGTCTCACTTATATGTATTTATTCATCATACTGTGATTGTCTGAAATCCTCCATCAAGCTTTCTGCTGCTCTACTCAAACATTTGATCCTTCTCATTTGTTTCTTGACAGCAACAAAACCACAATTAATACCACAGAAAGCATTTGTGCTTAGGCTTGCAGTCCTTAGAGTCACTGTCTGACTTTCTTTGCAACAGCTGAAACATGACAGTTTCCCTGGGTTGTATTCCCATTAAAAACATGTGAGTTAATATTTATCAGGAATAATTTCACCTTACTTCTCAAGTGCTCTTAGACAGTCAAGTAGACTGTGCCCCTGCATTGGCACTCACATAAAAGTATAGTTTATGAATAAAAATCATACATATTAATAGCCTATTTGTGTATGTCACTAATAGATACCTGATGGGTCATTCTGAATCTTAATACAGAAATACATAATTTGCAACCACAAATGAGTTGCCTAATTAATTACAAAATATAAAAAAAAGAAATGGTAATTTCCTGTAAGAAGAGAAGTATTTTAAAACCATTTATATACAAAAAGCAAAATACACAGCCTAAACATGCCACAGAATTCTACTGCTGAGTAAAATCTAAGCTTCTATTACTGAGGAAATATATCAAACCAGTAGAAATGATGAATCAAGAAAAAAATCAAGTATGCAAGAAAGTGCTAACATCCTACAAATATGAAGCCTTATATTATTAAAATGCATTTAACTCACATCTTTTCCAATGAGATCCCTCTGGTTCTCAATGATACCCCATGGAGGAATCCCAATAGCACAGATCTTTCTCAGGTGTGGTGAGGCACAGCCTTTCAGTGCATCCCCTACATGTCTGGACACTCCTAAACAGATAATCAAATCACAGTTTTTCTTCTATATTTTGAGAACTGCTACAGGACATCAAGAAATGGTTTCCCATCACTTAGTTTATTCTTTGGTTATGTTTTAACCAAAACCGAAACATCCCACCCACCTTGTATATTTGATGTACACTGCAGGAATCAAAAGGTGCACGGATGGAATGCACCATTGCTTCAAATTCAGCACATATTTCTAATTAATAATACTCTCATATGTTGCTAATGGTTCTTTCTACATCCACAAAATTAACTTTTTATAGAAATGCATAGGACAGTACTCCTGTAAGATCACCAGATTGAATAACAACTAAAAAAGTAAAACTGTTTCAGTTCCATGGCTTACTGATCTCCTTAGTTTTTGAGAGTACTCTCAAAAGAGAGTTTCAGATATTAATAGGCTAATTAATGGATTATACTAATTCAAAACTTAATTATAAAACACGAGTTAAATTTAAATTTGAAAACTGTTTCAGAAAGACCCATCACAGCCCACAGAACCTGGTTATATACAGTGTTTCTCACTGCATACAGAATACTCTGCTCTTTAATAAAAAAGAGGCATTAAAAATATTCAGAATGCCTGCTTTGAATTATGCATTGTTTCTATAAAAAAAAGCTTCATTTTATTTTCACATATCACCAATTTTAAAACAATTTCACTGTACTTGCCCTAAATGTATATGCTCTTACGCAGAGAAAGAACACCAAAGGAGAACTGAAACAAAGAAAAATAATTACATTACCGCTGTTGATGCCTTCTGTAATTATCCATGCTCCTGTAGTCTCAGCAGCCTTCATCAAACCTTTGCTGAAAACCTGCTTGACCTTTGAGGGAAGCTTGAAATTTTGAATGCCTCCATGAACAGAGATCACAAGCTTTGGCAACTCCATCTGCCATTCTTTAACCATCAGGTGCAACAGCTGATCCAAACTGCTATCATAAGAAACTCTAATATACTGGAAGAAATAATAATGGGTAAAGTAAACATCTTTTAAACACTCCACAAGGAGAAACTGCAACACATTACAAAGTTCTCAGCATTAATGTCTTACACATATTGTGAAGGATTAGACCTGCCACAATACCTATCACTAACATGATCGTTCAAAAATACATCCATGAGCAATAAAAACAACAAAACAGCCTATGATTAATCACAGTGAAGTTGAACATAACAATATCATACAAGCACTTAAATCTGACTTGCTTCTAGATTCCCCTGCCCTCCTAAGACAATTGATCTGATATTCATACAAAACCACTTTTTGCCTTTTTTACGCTGAAATTATAAAAATAAGTTGGACATATAAACACAGTATCTAATACCTTGGCATGGTAAGTGTGGTCTCCATCTTGAAAATTGATTGTACCAAATGCATCCGTTGGACTCATCTTTGTGTGTTTTTGCACAGACCATTCTCCACCATCCCCCTCTGAACCAGTCTGATAAACTGGCCAGCTGCAGTCTACTCCTGGGTGATCTCCAATCAGCCGTCCACAGCAACATCTCACATTAAAAATACAGAAATTATTTTATATCAAACTCACTTGCATACAACTCTAGAGTCTTCAACTCAATAGCCCAAATACCTTTCCTCAGAGAAAGATATTGCAGTTTTCTCTTATGAAATATAATAAACATTAACTCTGTTGAAAAAATCTCAAATATGGCAAAAGGACATTGAATTAAATCATAAATACGTTTTGTTGCATATAGAATCTGTTATCTACCCAAGGAGCACTAATAGCAGTTGGAGGGGTTGGACTAGATAGTCTTCAAAGGACCCTTACAACCCAAACCACGTTGTTCCTCTGTGTGATTCTGTAACAGTTTAAGAGTGCCATACAGCAATTCTGACCTGGGCAATGTAGCTTGGCTTTATTGGTCTTATATGTACCATTTCAGAAGAATATCACAGGCCACCTAGGTTTGCTGTGGATTTTACCACAGGTTATTACAGGTACTTAAGAAAGACCTAGGAGTTACAATCAGTAATGAGACAGAGAATTTCAGGGTGACCTTTATACTAACCCTGGGATGCCACCAAAGTGAATATACCAGACAGACTGAAGTGCAATGTTGATGGAAATAGAGAAACTCAGTTAGCAACTGTAAGAATAAACTGGATTCCAAATTCAATCAGTATTACTGTCATACAGGCTTCAACAGGCTCCAGTCTCTTCTACAGGATTAACTTCAATGTAATTTATAGTGACATCTGACTGACCAGTTTCAGCTTTAGAAGTTTCAGCAGTTAATATACCCTGAGAAACAGAGAAAAATTCTTTACTTTTACACTTCTAAGAAATGAAACAGTCTCCAAGAACCCAAACTCAATGACTGCCTTGGGAATCAGTTGTATTACTTGTGGATTTAAGGGCAGCTTATATGTAAACATCTGCAAAACCCTGAAGATGTACACTCAGAAAGACAGTCTCCAGTGGAGATGAGTGAGAACTAACTGGTAAAAAAGAAACAGACTTTTAAAAAACAACCAATCGAGAAAAAAATCCCAAAACAACCCCAAGGAAATGAAGGAAGCAAGCTGCTTTTGATACCCAGAAACCATGAAATTATGTTTGCACTCCAGTTTGTCAACACAGGCAAATTACATTTGGTTGATGCAACGCTCTGCAAAAGCAGACTGGAGAAGGAAGCCTCCCACACCCTTGGGGACTTAATAACTCAATGAAACATTTGGTGTAGAACTAAAGATTTGTAGAAGACCAGCACTGCAGAAAAGATTGGATTTCTATTGTCACATGTATGATGATGATTATATAGATGTCAGAATGCAATAAGGACTTTAAGAAATGCCAGATTTTTTGTCAAGCTAATTTGACATGGATTAGCTAATCTAAATCACCTACACCTTTTCTGTATCTGAGCCAAATAGCAGGATTTCAGAGAACTCCAGGCACTTGTCAGAAAGAACTCAGGCATACGCTCACAACTGAATCTTGCAAAAATTAAGAAGAAATTATTTATCTCACAGGTGAGAGGTGTGGAGGGTGGAGGCAGGATGGAGGGGAAAGCCTCATAAAGGGTTTTTTATTGCCAAGTAACTCTAGACAGAAGTATTGCACTGGCTGTCTCACTGCATGACTCCACAACCATTTGTACTACGCTAGCGACAGAAGAAACCTCAAAGATTAGCAGAGGAGGCACAAGAGATGCTGAAATAAACTAGTGATCTAGGGACCTTAAAAGCCCCTTTGTAATTTTGCCTCTTCATAGATAAACAGGACAAGCAGGTCAAGGCTCATGAACTAAACAAAAAGTATCCAGTGGAGCACAGATCAGTCACACCAATTCACTTGGAGATATACAATTAAATCACTCGTTCTGAAGACTGTGAGGGATCAACATACAGGGAACATCACCACTGACTTGGTGCTGTCAAATAACATATGGATTCAGAATAGAGACATACCTAAACTAAAAGCATTTCAGAGCAATGTATTTGTAGAGTAGATAGCACAAGGGACACAGATTTGGGTAAAATCTGCGCACAAAGAGCATAAGTTCTTCTTTATGACTCTCTCTCAATATCTCAAAGGAAGGCCCAGAAGAAAGAGATAATTTTGGTTTTATTATTGGTCTTCAGAGGGAAAATTTCTCTATATCTGAGCTATTAGCCCCCATTGCTCCATATTTTTCCTGCTTCCTTTTTGGGTAGACTCCAGGCTAAGAGACAGCAAATGGCAGGAAAAAAAAAAAAAAGATCTTTAGATGAAAGATGAGAAAAAAAATAGATACCCTATTGTACTTTAGTCTTGAAAATACCTTGTGGTCACTGTACTGCTCCTAGAGTGGTCTCACAATAACATGACCTTTTATTCAGGAGTCATTCCAAACAAGAACCAGTATCAGTTCCAACTAAATACCACATTATGTTACTCACTTAGATACCAAATTACACAGTCTGAGTCTGATTCAGCAAATACCAGTGCTTGGAAGGACAGCACTGAAAAGCATCAGGCTCATCATCAATAGATTACATTTTTTAAAGTATGAATTAAATTCAGTCCATCATCAAAATATGAGAACAGCATGACTATCTCATAGGTTATTGACCCATACACAGTCACATGAGCAGCCCCTCCTAGAGCAGCAAGAGCCAGAGAAACCTGGCTTTTCAAAGTAGACATCCTGTGGAAAGGATGGAAACCACCTGACAAGATAAATCAGTGCAATAACCTTGAAACTGAGAGACCAAATGAACACTGACCTACTTTAGTAATTATCATCATTTACACTCCAAACTTAACATTTACATGTATATACACCCAGAGGTGAGCTGTGCTCAGAACAGCTCAGTTTTGCAGAGCAGGCAGTGGAGGAGCCACACATAGACCTAACACATGGGTGTACAAGGTACATGCAGCTGTTCTTACTTCAGAGATCATCACAGCAAGAGGTATGATGTCAAAGGGACAGGTATTTCTCATATTGCTCATGCTCTGATCCAAACTGGCACACTTGGTCTCCCTAGTCATCTAGCAGGAAGGGACAAGATGCTAAGGATCCCTGAGCTACCTGGAAGGTCAAAAGCCAAGACTAAGAGGCTCTCAAGAAGGCTGAGGAAGCCAAATCAGAACATTACATTCTGAGGAGTTTTTCTCTGTGACATTTTCTGCTGTGTGCACAGTAGTGACAGGGCTCAAGGAGGAGTCACACTACCACCCTGAGATGACTGAGTCAGGATTGCACAGGAGCACTCAACTCACACATGTGTCCCTGGGACCTGTCAGGCTGCACCCCAGGGTGCTGAGGGAGGTGGCTGATGCCCTTGTACACCAGTTTCCACCAGCCCACCAAGGCTGTGGAGACCAGAGAGATTTCTAATAACTGGAGAGAGGCAAATGTCACATCTGCTGTCAAAAAAGGACAAAAGCCACCTTGAGGAACTGCAGGCTGACCAGCTGTTACATCAGTCCCAGGTAAAATCAAGGAGCAAGACCACCTGGAGCCTCTGTCTGGGCACATGAGGGAGCAGACAGTGACAGAGACCATTCAGCAAGGATTCATCAAGTGTAAGTCATGCCTGATCTACCCAACTGCCTTTTGTGACATCATTGTGGGAATGAGAGGAGAGCAGCAGGTGTAATCTACTTCTACTCTGGCCAGACTTTCGTAGCTGGGCTGTGACATTAGAGTCTGGGATGGATGATGTGCTGGCACATGAGGACCCAGTTGGGTGGTGGGCCAGTATCAAGCAGGGCCTGTTGTGTTCAGACTCTCCATCAGTGCCCTGGAGGAGGGGATGGAGAGAACGTGCAGCCCTGGGGAGGGGACAGCTCTGGGGCATGGTCCTGGATGCTGGTGGGCAGTAAGCTGAGCCAGGGCTATCCGTGTGCCTGGGCAGCAATGAGGGACAGTGATGACTGGGGTGGTGTGAGCAGGACCTGGCCCAAGAGGTGGGGGAGGGCAGGGACTGACCCCTTTGCTTAGTGCTTGTCAGCCCCTGTCTGGGTACCACCTCCAGTTTCCGTCCTCAGCACAAAGGAGACACAGCAAATTGGAGAAACTTTGCGGGGAGAGTGAACATCCCGGTAACAGATGGTGGGAATTGAGTCCTTGCTCCCTAAGAAGAAGGTGTGAGACTGGAGATTGTTCAGCTGGGAGGAGAGATGGCTTCAGAGGCTCCAACAGCACACCTAGCACTGACTGGAGGGGATACAGAAGATGTAGACAGGCTCTTCAGTGATGCATGGCAGGTGGGCGAGTGGCAGCAGTGGTGCTGAATGACAGGAAGCAGAGGCTAGAAATAAGAAGCCTTTTTCCCAGGAGGACAGCACAGCAGTGGAGCCAGGGCCTGAGGAGGGTGGGCTCTCTCCATCCTTGGGGGCTTTGCACTACAACTGGTTGTAGCCCTGAGCAGCTTCATCTGACTCGCCCAGAGGAGAATGCTCTGGGCAGGGTTGGAACTGAAGACTAATTCCTGATGGCCTGAGTTATAACTGTGATCCTATGGATAGATGATATTCATTGACACAAAGTCTCTTTACAATGACATTGCCTTCTTTGCCTCAAAGGCTCACAAAGTTACTGGAGAAGATGCAGGCCTTGTCAGTAACACAAAGGCAGACTACTAGAAAAGTCACACTTTGAGCAACAAGGGGAAACCCAGATGGTTGACACTGAGGTAAAAGTAGCTGCAGTAAACTGACAGATTACAAAATCCAGTGCCCTAGCAGGCAGCACTTTAGATGCTGTGTCCGAAAATTACACCTGAAAGGCCAGATTTGTAGTCCATTCATGAGAACACCTCAGATGCATAAGAATGCAGAAATCTGGCACCATGTTTCTGAATATTCGTGTAGTGAGATCAGTCAGGGTGCTGCCTGGGATGTTTTTCTAAGTGCTGCACAGAAGACTAGATAGAGGCCATTTCAACACACCAGAGAAACATGGAAGAAAGTGCCAGTAAATTACTCACATTTGATTAGCAACTACTAAATGGAGCTATTCTACTTAGAATTAGTAAATAGTGGCATAACCCCTTCATAAACTGTTTGCAAACCTTGGAAGTTCTCTGCAAGTAAGAAATTATTAACAGATTTCATTTGCCTACAATATAAGGTCCAATTATAACAAGTATCAAATACATTCACATGATTTTTGGACTACTGTGGAAAGCTATCAATCTCAAGAGGCCCAAAATCAGTTTCATTGCTGACCTAATAAATACAATATAACCTGTCATAACAATCATGTGAAAATTATTTCCCCTCATTAGGAACAGAAGAATTCTTCTAGAACAATTCTCTGTATATACCTTGAGATATACAAGTAGGCAATAATAGTTAACATTTGGGAAAATGCACTTGCAAGATAATGGCTGACTGAAATGAACATCAGACACCCACACACATGCTGCAAACATATACAGACTGACAGATTGGATTCACATTAACTTAAACAGCATTAAAATGTTCCACAAAAAGTGAAAGAAACAACTACAAGACAAAACTCCTGCAAAATTACAGGATATCTTGACAGAAAAAAGTAGTGAAAGAAAAAAAAGCATTCAGTGGCATGCACATTTCCTGTTTCTCTTCCTACCTCTCCCATTGTAGTATTCACATTCATGGAGCTAAACTGTGTTTGGCGAGGAGGCTGATTTGATGGAAGCTAGTCATTTAGTTTCTCATCTTCTCAGGTTAATTTTCATACTAATGGGCTTCCCAGACCAATTAACAACGTGGTCATTCTGCAGGGGGAAGACTACAGAACTGCTCTACTCTTGATTTAGATGGAATTAAACTACTGTATTTGGAAGCAGAGCTTCAGCTTAAATATCCACCTGGGCATCTGCAGGTTACCAGTAAGCATTAAAAGCCCCCCTGCATTTTTAGTTTTAGAAGATCTGCAAAACTCTGTGAGTCTCTATTCTTCTGCTCTAAACAAGACCATTCTCTTAGAGAGGAGCTGATGCTTTTTGAACAGATACCACACAAATCACTTGTCTTACAAGGCAACATCATTCTGCATATCAGTCCTTTAGAGTGATCTGATATTAAGGAGTAATTTATTTACTTTTTGTAAAACATGATTCTTGTTTCACATAAATCTTAGAAGCAAAATACAACGTGAAACAAAATAAGAAGGCAAATAATGAAGCTCACACAGGTGGCAAGACTACTTGGCACCAGCTTGCTAGTCATCAGTTACTGGAAATTTTTATGTTGCTTCAGCATTTGGAGGCCTTTGACACAAAAAAAATGCTGAGGAAATTTAAAATTTTTATTCTAACAACTGATAATTTATTATCATAAATATACAGTACCAAAACCTATTTGGTAACATCAACTGAATGACAAATGTTGGATTGAAAACTACTAATTGACACAAGCCACAAAATACAAGTCATCTGAAAAAAACCACAAACTTCCTAAAAGCAGCAAAGTGATGCAATTTTTATTGCTTGCCTTCCCAAAAGCAGGAACTAGAAATACTTAGAGAAGATTAAAAATCTTCAGAAAACCTATTATCAGGGATATTTCTATTACCCCATTTCTTCTACCTTCATCTTCTTCTCCTTTCCACAATTCTTACTGTTCTCCATTGCTTTTGTCTCAATCTCCTTCTCCAGGTTATAGCTGGGATCGTCTTCCATTTAAAGGCACATTTCTGCCTTCATTTCTCAGGAGGAGATTAAGACAAAGTCATCCACAAAAGGTATATGGAGAAAATTCTCTATTGCAAATAAATTGAAGGTTACCACACAACTTATTCTACCCATATTTATGCTAAAGGTTCTCCAGCACACCCCTAGAAAGGTTGCTCTGACCATACAAGAGGAATGATATTTCTCTTGTCATTACTTCCTTGACTAGCAATGCTTATTACTAGGTCATTCTAAAAATCACAGATATATATTTAAGCATACTTACCTGATTAAATTCTGGCACACCTGGCATCCTGCAGGACACCTGTGATAACAGATGGATGATTAATACATGCTTCCTTGCTATTCAGAAAGTACCAATTCAATTGTGAAAAAATTCTCATTAACAGTATTACAGGCTGTCATCTTTTGTACTACCCCCTGAAAGATGTATTAGATAACTTAGTCATTTGTTTGGCATTTCACATCTCAGACTGTATGTCAAATCTACATTTCATAGATGAGCTACGTATCTTATCAATGACACACTATCCTTGCGCTCAAAACTGTATGATCAAAATGACACGTTTATGTCCTCAGAACATGATCTCACCAAGTTTATTTAGGCAACACCAAGCACTACAAACACAATCTGTAATGCCAAATTATGTGTGCTTTTTCAGGTCCTAAAACACAAGTTGAGGATTTCACTTCATCCTTACTCTCTGCAAGCTCTACACCAGCCTGAGAAGAAACTTTCATCTCAGAAGACTGTGATCAGCAGGAGGCATTATCCTGACAAAGCAAGAAAACAGTTTAGCAGTAACTCAGTCTCTCAATTGGATATCATATAAGTTTTGGTTACCAGACTGCGAGCAACAAATCTAAGAAGCTTAAGAAGGTAAATTATTGGCAATTTCTAATTCAAACTAACTGCCTCATTTAAAATGTACTGGTGACAGGATTCATAGACAAGCAATCACCAACCATGACACTGAAAAACATCATCCAAATCATACACAATGCCCACAAAAAATACTCAGATTCATTCTAAATGTAATAAAAAAAGTGAAATTCATTGTTTTACCTATGTGGATCTTTTGAGCCGGGAATGATGTGTGCACATTCTCTCTTACTGAAGACCTCTTCAATCCAAGATTTTGGGGACTGAAAAGATATCTCAAATATAATTTCATTCCTCAACTTCAGAACATGATGTCAAAAACTGCATTATAATGACAACATGGCTGTATACAGATAACATAACCCAGAACAATTCCCATCATGTTAGATGAAACACCATCAGCTGAAACTACAGCTCTGAACAGTCCTAGCCCTTAATCCCCGAACTTTACATAGTTCCCTAGAATGATCAGTATCAAAATCTGTTGCCACCTCTCACACGCAAATTATTTAGAGGTTCTGTCAAACACATGTACAATAGAGAAAGTGCCAAGCATGAATCAGAAGTGCTTTAAGGATTGCACTCTCCTTCTGCCAAAAGACTAGCAAACCGCAATCTGACTACAACTGTGTCAAACAGGCAAGATTTATATTTAACCTGAAGGAGATCATTGAGTCTTTTATTGTTCTTAACAGAGCCAAGAATAGATTTACCCTAATTATACGTTTGCTGAACAGTGAAATGCAAAAGCAGGGACCAAACACTAGACCTACCACTCAGAGTGTATAACAGGTGGGCTTTTTCCACTGACCTCTGAGTACACTGAGAAAATTGTCAGTGATGCCCATTACAGCTGAGCAAACTGAACAATCATTATGGTACACAGATTTTTTCAAAGAATCTCATTGGGAATCTTTGAATCTTTCTCTTTGGGTTTATCAGGATCAAATTCCTGAAAAGAATGATAACTTTTAGGTGCTGAACATTGAAATATATGGGATTGAATTTAGTAAACACTGGAAGCAAAGAACTTTTTTTCTCCTCAAAGGGAACTACCCCCACAATGAAATATGCAATGGACAGATACTTTATCATAAAGAGTAAATACAATTATACTGACCATTACTGCCTTATTGTTTGTTACGTTCATCTCACTCTATGTCTGTTGTCTACCTTAAAAATAGACAGCAAGATCTCTAGGACAGGGCACAGTACTGTCCTGGTTTATTGCTAGGCATACAAGGCAAACAGTAATCAAACAATAAACAACTACTCCTTATTCACTCCTCATGTTTAAAAACCATTGTTGCTCCACAAAATGTCGACCCTGAGAGTATACTTATGGTAGGTGCTTGTCTCCATACTTGTTTGTAAAATGTCTCTTTCATACATACAGTGACTTAGAAAAGAATTCCATTCATGAGAATGCCAGTAATTCAACAAATTAAGAGTTCTGCTGGGAGGATTTTATGGATAGAATTCAGCAATAACTCACAAAAATACCTCTCTTTCATATCCTGAGTGGAATTATGGTCCTTAATAAAGAAGGCCCAGCTAGTCATGCAGTTATGAAGGGCCATGAGCTACCTGAATGTAGCTGTCTGCATGCGGGGAACTAGCTTCTACCAAGGCCAACAGGAGTCCTACCTTTGGTTTTAATGTACTTTCAAACAGATCCCCACCAACAAAGTTGAAAGAGATTAAAAAGCTGCATTCTGGTACTGGTGTGCATGTGTATTCTTCTGGGAGTAACTAATTGAATGCTTCTGTTTGAGCTTTGAATGAATGAGAAACAACGAGGAAGATCCTCAGGGCTGAAGAGAGCATTGGCATGCATGAAGATTAATTAACTTTGAAAGACACATGCTGAAGACAAAATACAAAAATTAAATCCGGAGAAAAACACTGGAAACACTGAAGCAAATATAATTACCTGAGGGCAAGGCTTTTTGTATTATTCTCATTAGTAATCAGCATTATGTTGTGCTCCCTTAACCACTCCATTCTAGTTATTTGAACTCTCAAACAAACACTGAAATGTCTCTAATATTACAATATGCTGGGTCCCTAATTTTTCTGAAATCCATTACTTTTTCTGGTAATTGGTTTTCCACCAGAACAAAGGAACAAAAAACGTTTTTATATTATGGGATGTCTTGGATAAGAATGACTCTCACTAAATTTTCATCAACAGGAAAGGATGTGACAGAATGGCCAAGAGGCCAACAAGCCTTACAGCACTTGCTGAGGCAGCATGCTCAGCCTTGTGAGAGAAGAACAACATTCAACTATTGTCACTTTAATTTAGCAAGAGCACTAGTAGTTCAAAGAAATTTTGAGCAAGTTGTTGGCATTGCAGTGTCTCCAGTAGCTTCTGCTAAGCTACTTTACCTCCAGCATGACATTCTCTGGAAATCAAGCATTTTCAGCAAGATCTCCTGGTACACAACAGCTGTTTGGTGTGGCTATTTCAAACCAAAATATAACTTACAGTCCTCAGTGATGGCAATATACTGCGTGAGTTGATGTTACAATATCGCATATGGGAGATGAAGAGGTTACTATCAGCTTCTTGATATCAGCTAAACTGTCTCACAAAAACATGCCATGCTTTAAAAAATATCCCTTTTTAGATTTTGGGGGGTGGTTGGGGCTTAGGACAGAAATATCAATGCTTAAAATCTGGATGTTTTGTGTATCCTTTTTCAATCTGATTCAAAACCACCTGTGCTTTTCTGCAGCTGCGGCAGTAAGGGCAGTGACCAACATACGTCACAGCTGATCAGGCCACCCTAGTCACAATGGGTTGGGCCCAAGGTGCAACAAAGCCAATAGAAAAAAAAAATCCCCTATAGCTTCAGATCACATGCCATGAATTTAGCCTTGCTACTACACAGGTCATTGAAAAAAATCCCAATTATCCCGGATAAATAAGATCACTACAAAATTTACTTGACCTTTGAATCTCAAAGCACAAAGGTTGCTCCTCACCCTGTGGCACAGAGACTGCCCTAGCACAACACAACAGTTAGTTAGCACCACTTCAGAATCTTCAGTAAATAGGACAGAAAACAACATTTCAAAGCGCAATTGATACAATATGGAGAGTTTTCACACTGCCCAGAAAAGAAATATAATAGTTTCCTATACAGATATTTCAACATTAATCTTTGCTTATTTATATAAAGAGTTTGCCAGAGTACTGCTTATGCTACAGTCCTTCACCTCCTTCATTCCTGTAGTTTTTGCATTCTAAAACGCAGTATTTAGATAGCATATCATCTGTATACGATTCTGATGAAGCCTGTAGCTTTAACATTTATTTTCACCTCAAATGATAAACACGTGAATACAATAAAAAACATCCTTGGCAAAGTCCACCAAAAAGAAAAAGATTTCTTCAATGAAGTTCCTGAACAGATGGTACTACTGAAAAATATATATATATTGAAATTCCAATCAGCTGTAGGAAAAAGTAACATGGAAGACTGTATTCCATCTTGTGAAGCACAAATTTCAGAACAGAAACACTGTGAGACACATCTTTATTGTTCTTAATTTTATATAAGGTAAAATCTTCACACGCTACGCAAAAATTACAGCACAACAATAATATTGATTTGCTAGTCTAAGGCTTTACTTAGGTTTTCAAGCTAATCATGTAATGAGGAAAAGGGTTTTAAAACTTCATGCTTTTACAGTCATCCATGACTTCATTGACTGGGTAAGTAAAAATGAAAAGAGAAGTCTTCTGAACTGCATCCTGTTTGCTCTTGGTTCCTAGTTTTGTAAAAGACATCTGCAACATGTATATCTCCTCTCACAAGACTCTAACATTCCAAAAGTGTCGTAATTTAATTAAATTTCAACAACAAATTAAAATTTCTCCTGTCACTACAGTGAGGTACATATACCTCAGCCAGAATCAACATGTACCTTTTCTACCACCAAACCCTAAAGGAGACAAAAATACACCTACACGTCCCACCTGACTGGCAAATTTCTGTTCTGTACACAAGACCTGAAGACAAGTTTATATTGCAGTCTTTCTTCCAATTTTCCTTTCAGGACATCCTGAGACCTTTGGGAGTCTTGCCTTCTCATTTCTTGCCAGTCTGTGGATTAGGACGGCTGCTTGTACTTACTTCCCTGCCACAGAAGAGGCTTTGGAGATTTCCAGACTGACCTAGTCAATGGAGTGGCAAGAGTTTGGCTCTGAAATTTAAGGCACATGAGTCGTTTTTAGAAAATTGCTTTTAATCACTTCTCCAATATCGCTAATCCTTGCATAACACGGTATTAAAAGGACACTGTCAGGTCAAATTTGGTTAAATGTAACTAATGTTCAAAAATTAAGGGTTCCAGAAGTAACGAAAGAGTTTGTAGTGTAAAATTTAGGGAAACACCTGAACTGCTCATGTCTTTCAAATCCTTGCTGATGGGCAGTGAGAGCAGACAAAAATCTAAAAACCCAGCTTATTGTAGAGGTAATCTGTTCCCCAAGATGCAGTGATGCCATCAGCAAGGTGAGTGACCATGCCACCATCGTGCTGGGTTCACTTGGGCAGGTATGCAATGCTTGGCTCACCAGTCTAAGGGGACAGGGCAATGCAGCCTGGTGATCCCCTGTTATACTGCTCCCTGCACTGATTTCACCAGTCACACATACAGCAAAAATGGGTGAATGCTTCAATTTTTGCTGTGCTTTCTTCTGCCCCAGCCCACCCGGCTCCACCCACCATCGCTCCACACATGCATACCTTGTCAGAGCCAAGGCCTGTGGAAGCACTGCACCTATTAAACACTGATAAGGCAGGCGTTAATGTGCATTTGTCTTGCTCTGGAATTAGTTTTACTAAACCAAGAGTTGCAAGAAACACTCAGCTCCTTCAAGAGTAGACAATAAGCACTCTTCATTCGTTGAGTACCAAACTCAGGAAAACTAGGTTTCACTGCCAATGCTAAACAAAAAAATTTTAGTATCATCAGCTATACTGATGTCTGTCTGCTTTATGCTGAAAGGCATGGTTACACACATTTTCTAGTGAAACAGCATGCTGCTCTGGACACTGTTCAATTCCCTGCAAAAGCATATTAAAAGTCACACATCTCTGTCAGAATAACTTCATCCATTATTGAAATAAAATCAATTATTGGACAAAACAGCAGCAACTGCCTTTAATGACATGTTGTACCTCCAGAAGGGTGCAGATAATGAGAAATCACATAATGACTGACCAGTTTAAATAACAGGTTAGTTCACTTAGGCGAAGTACAGTTGTGCTGGAAACTAGCCAGAACAATCAAGTTGTAAGCAGCTTGCTGAAACTGCAATAAATTTGTACTGATAACAGAGAAACAGAAAGTCTTAGAGAAAGCACTACTTCAAGAGCTGAAATGTGCTGTCAAACACCATACCTCAGCTCTGCATGGCAGCTGGTAAATTACTGCCAGCATTGAAGAGGTTTGCAACTTAACAAGCTGTCTTGCATAAACTTTTCAGGGCAGGAACTTTCTGGTCCAGCATTCGGTACATGCAGGCTCATGGTATGAAGCACACTGTAAATTTCTAGGGTCACATGCAATAAAATATGAACCCTCGTGAGATCTTCAACAAACTGTCAGGTCTAGAATTTCCTTGTGTTCAGGCTACGCTGTCAGATGACAACCACCTGGCTTTGTTACACAAACGTTACATGGCTATGGCTCCTCTCCATCACTACGATACATTGGTATATCTATTACTAACTGACATCTTTTCCTTTCCAATCTTTCTTACCTACTCCTTTGTCCCAGTGTTCAAGACTCTGTACATCTGTGGAAATACAGAATCATAAATAATTGAATTTGCCAGAAAATTTTCAGCACCACATTTCAAAAAGGCTTACAAAAATATTGTGCAAATAATTTAATTTGAATGCTTCCATTGTTCACCAGTTCACCATATACAACTATAAAGCAAATCTCAGTTAACTTCAAACTGCCTTTGCAGGCAGATTGCACATTCAGCAACACTGAAAAGTTTTTAATTTTCTCCTTTTAAAGATAGCATATAATTTCAGCAGAATTTCTGTGACTAATTCAAACTCATCCACTGTAAACATAATCTCAGGTATTCACAGATACAGTACCTACACTTACAGAAGTCACATGTGCTAGTAGGATAAACGCAGACTCAAATCAGAGAGGGATAACAGAAATTCTTAAAACTCTTCAGTCATGCTGAAGAGAGATTTTAGATTTTTTTCCTCAGAACAAATGGACTGTTAGCTTCTCAGAAACATATAATTTCAGTCCTCAATCAACAGAGTGCTATGGCATTTTCTTTCACAATTAATCAACTGCACTTCAAAACTAAGTACATATGTCTAAGTACTTTTCTGGATTGGCTTCTTATATTGAAGGCTCATAAAACTCTTTCCAATATTCTGATCCCAAACTTAGCATATAAAAGAAAAAACCCTTTGACTTTAAAGGGCTTTCCAACATGTTGCTTCTGATCTCAGAGTACACCACACAACACAGTTGGAAGAACACTTCTGAATGTAAATATCAGAGAGGCCATGACAACAAAATGCAGGAAATAATCAAAATGTTCTTCTTGTCAGAGAAGCTCCAGCTTGATTCCTGGAGCACAGAGCCAGTCAACTGACGGAAACCTTAGCCGAGTCTGAAATACTAGACCTTTAGTTAATTTCTTTTCACTTTTTAAATTTATTAACTAATCAATTAAGCCTTTCTGCTATCCCTGTACATATAATATTTTAGAAAACCACATCAAACAGCACTGCTCCAAAAGCATACCCAGCTCAGAATGCAAATGCACATGGAAGGGCTCCTAGTTTGCAGATGAAAGGTGTGAGGAGACTATCCTGTCTCCCTGCAGAGACCACGGCACTGGACTAGGTGGGGAAGGCCACATAGGTCCTCACCTTAGCATTCTGCCAATAGCCCAGGCTTTAGCAAAGGAGCTAAACACAAGAAATCTCAAATCACAATTTATTTTCCGCAGCGCTATCCTTAAAACAGGTACCAAAAACATCACTATAAATCCTGCATTGGCATTAGACATCTACAAATTACTTAAAAACTGGTTTCCTGGTCCATTCTCCAACTGGAAATGCAAAAGCTGTGTGTGACATAATGCCTTCCACCTAAAGCAGATCACTCCAAAACCCACTGCTCTAGAAGCACTGCAATTGTTGAGAAAGTTTGGATCTGACTCTTTCATAACTATGGCCCAATCATGCAATGACAAAATTTGTGCTTATAGCTGATGGCAGCCACCTTGCTAAAAGTTGACATTTGTGTTACATTGGCAGAATTAAAATACAGTATAATACTGTGTATCACCTTTTATAAAGCCAATTCAATAAGCAGCATAAAATACAGAGCATTGAGCAAGTTAGTTATACATAAAGATAGAGAAAGATATCTTTTAAAGATTGCAATTGCAGGAAACAATCCAAATTGCAGAATAAATTACAAGAGCCACTGAAAACTTGTGGCAAGCAAGAACAAGCACCAGTAGTAGTGCAAGAAATTAATCAGTTAATTAATCCAAACTATATTTCTAAATTATTATTAATATAACAATGACCTTATTTAACTGTGTCTCTTTTGGAGACAGAATTTCCATGGTTTTCTTAATGGACACTTGTACATGTCTCACTGACAGTATTTGGGAGGTCAGTAGTACCATTCACAGCCTAAAGAAAGTCTAACATTTGGTTTTCTTTTATTAACTAATGCAATATAATGAGAAAATAGCAAATATTCAATGCAAGTTACATATCCTATATAAAGTCATTGTGGTGCAAGTCATTTTAAAGAAGTGAAAATCCAGGCAGCCATAAGAAAATGATGTTTCAGATTTTTATTCAGAGGCTCAATAATGTCTCTCACAGATTTCCACTTCGGGATCATTGGAATCTGGTGCTTCTTACTTGCTCAGCACTTGATCTGAGCAAAGAGCTAATCAACTCACTATTTTCAAAACTGTGTCTCACCTACCTACCTAACACTGAGCAATCACAGAGGTCAATTGCCCACCACTGTTATAAACACATTCCTTCATGAAAAGATTCAAAATGACACAGCACAATGGTCTTCCTGGTTTAAACCAGGAGGAGGAGAAGAAGAAAATTACCTGATAGTAAATTTCAGAACTTTCTTTTGCTTGTTTTATATTTGCACAACAGAAGGTTTAGTAGTCATAGAATCATAGAATTTTAGGGGTTGGAATGGGCCTTATTGATTAATGGATCATTAGTCACAACACCCTCTGCCATGGGCAGGGACACCTCCCCACTAGACCAGGATGCTCAAGGCCTCATTCAGCCTGGCTTTGAACACTGCCAGGGCTGGGGCAGCCACCACTTACCTGAGCAACCTGTGCCACTGTCTCACCACCCTTACAGTAAAGAACTTTTTTCTAATATCTAACCTAAACTTCCCCTACTGACTAGAGAGGTGACTCTCTGACAATCAGATATATCTAACATGGAAAGCAAATACAATATGCAAAATTCAACTGAAGGAAGCATGAAGGGTCCCAGTAAGTCACAGTTTGATAGCAATCTACACATGGTCTAGAGGAAGGTGTCCCTGCCTATGGCTGGGAGGTTGGAACTATGTGATCTTTCAGGTCCCTTCCAACCGCATCCATTCTATGCTTTTATAATTCCATCATGTGAGTGATCCACACAGCTCACCTCTGAAGCCACATGATTGTTCACAGTCACCCCTGTCAGTATTGCCCTTTTTGCTCCATCGTTTGCCTCACACAGCAACAAAATATTCATGGGCTTGACAGCTGCATACAGCAGCCCTTGGCACACTACAAGACAGGCAGACCATGACAGGACTGAAATTCCATTTTCCAAAGAAACAGGAAGTACAGCTTGGGTGATTTCATTTCCTACCTGGCTGC